TTTAGCACTTGACAATTTTCAAAAATCATGTGACTGTAAAATTTTTATTGCATTTTTGATTGGAAATTTTTTCTCAAAATTGGTGACATGGCACAGAAAGTTGTGGGTCTAAGTGACTTGCACTATATATCAATCATCTTTTTCTATTAATAAAATTTTTAAGATATCTCTTTAATATAATTCATAAAAAAAGTAAAATAAAATCAAAAAATAAAATCAATTTTCTTACAATTCAGTTAAGAAAAACATTGATATAAATAATTCTTCATTGTCATCATTTAATCTAATTCGATTTTCCATATGATCTATGATATATTGTTTCACCTTCTTGGATATTTCATAATGATAATCATATTGTAAATCATTCACATGTTTTTTGTAAAATTTTTCAAGAATAGGTTTTTCAAAAATTTCATCATTTGTGAAGTCAACAACATAAGAATTTATGGGAGCATCATATTCAAACTTCTCTAAATCTTTTTTTGTTAAATTCCCAAAAATCAAATTATAAACATCCACTCCATTATATATCCCAGGGTTGGCAAATTGACTGGTCCATTGAGAAAGATGGATTTTGGACTGGTCCATTGCAATTAATAAAATACTAAATATGGTCAAAGTGTTACACTAATGGACCCAATGGACCACCAATAGACCATCAATGGACTGCACATTTGCCAACCCTGATATATCCATTGAAATATTGGTTTTTTGTTCTATGAAAAAGATTGTAAATCAATAAGTGCAATCACACATTAAGCAAGAACACATAATTATATATGGGGGGATAATTTTTTTGTCAAAAATGTAATACATAATATGAAATATAATTACAAAATTAATTACAGGATATGTAATTATGAAATTAATTACAATTGATGAAATTAATTTCAGGTGACAAAGTTATTCATTATATATAGATTAAATTGCTTACAAGGTGATGAAATTAATTACTTAGTATTATTGATGAAAGTATTCATTGTAGTGTAATATCTAATGATGAACTTAAAAAATACTGGTTACACTAATAGACAAAAAAATGTTTAATTTCATCACCCATAATTATTTGGAAAAAAAGTGGTAATTAATTATGTTAATTACAAATTACATATTTACAGTAATTAGATAATTACTATCCCATGTATACACAATAATAATTTGTATTACCTTTGCATTGTATATAGAAATCATTCTTTGTCTATGTGATTTGACCTTGACTGTATTAATATCATCATCAGGCATATAATCACCAAAAAAATATATATACATGTATAGTTACATTATCAGACTATTTAAACTTCAAAATAAATAAGCCAGTAAATATACTTTTATTGGTAGTTCCTTCAGACTCTTTGTTATTATTGTTCAAATATTTGGAAGATTTGGAAAATATGTCTGATGGGCTTGACCTTAAAGTGTGTAAGTTGTTAAAGAATGAGCAAATTATTAAACTAGAGTGACAAGTAGTGATGATTGTAAAATTAAAATAAAAAGATTGTTATAGAGGTTGGAACCGGTTTTATTTTCAAGAACCGGTTTTAATCACCTTTTCAAAATCAGAACCGGTTTTAAACCGAATATAATAAAACCGGTTCTAACCGGGC